TTTTTTTTCCATGCTAGGAATTAAACCCTAGGCTTTCACACTCAGCTATATTCCTTTGTATTTTTAGTTTTTTTCTTTTTCTTTCTTTCTTTTTTTTTTTCCCTGTACTAGGAATCGGTTTAGTTTTTATTTTGAGGCAGAGTTCTTGCTAAATTGCCTAGGCTGGGTGTGAGCTTGTGATTCTCTTGCTTCAGCCTCTCAGAAAGGAGGGATGGGGCTGGTGAGATGGCTCAGTGGGCTAAAGCACCTACTTGGAACAAGCTTGGGAAAGCACAGGGACCGTGGTTCGAGCCCCCAGCACCACATGCCAGCCCGCCCCGCCCCCTGGTGGGCTGAACTGGCCACACAACACACACACACACACACACACACACACACACACACACACACAATAAATGTTAAAAAAAAAAAAAAGAAAAAAAAAGAGGGATTACAGGCATACGCCATCACACCTAGCTGGAACCTCTTTTTTGGAACCCAACTCCTAGGAGACAGGGCCCATGTGGCAGGTGTCTGCATGGGGTCTGTCAGAATGGCCCAGCAGAAGTTAGCAGAGGGACTTGGTACAGGCCTAGACTTCTCTGTAGCACATGGAGCACTATCCCCTGAGCTGCAGCTCCCCGTAACCTTCTGCACATCTGTAGCCCAGGACCCAGGGCCAGCACTTGTGTATGCTTAGTTCCTACATGGCCTCAGGGGTGCTGCGGCTGGGGATATGCAGGGGCCTTAGGTGGTGTGCAGCAGCCTAAGATGGACAGAGATGCACTGTGCCTACCCAGATGCCACACCATTAGTGGGGAGTGCGGGCTGACCCAGGCCTGGTGGCCCTTCTTCATTGGCGATTATGTGGCGGCTGAGGTCACCTAGAGGGATCGGCATGGCTGCTTTCTTTCTTCCTCACTGTAGCTTATAGGGAAGGTATGGGACAAAAGGAAGTGGAGCCCCCATGTCACACTGTTCATCAGGAGGAGGAGGACGACAAGGAAAGGGAGCCTATCTCTCTCTCTCCACAGTACGCAGCAGCTGCTTTCAGGCCAGGTGTCTGCTCTCCTACACACCAACTACCCCCTGCTTCTCTCAGGCTTGGCCACTCTACTTCTGGTGACTTTCCTCTCCAGTTTCATGGTCCTCATGGCTTGGCACCTCTGGCCTGGGCTATTTCCATTCAGCCTTGGTGGCAGCAGGGCACAACACTCAGGAGGAGGCCTCAGGGGGCAGACAGTGTCCAACACTACCCCGGTGGCTGCTGCAACACTTGCTGTTGGGATTACTCTGGGCCCATGATTTACCCATCCGAGCCTCACTGTCTTCATCTGTGAAGGGTGCTCCCTACCATTATTTGTACCCGAGAGGGCTGTTAGGAAGATTCAGGGAGATGGGGCCCAGTGCTGCCACCAGACATTAGCAACTATCACCATTAGCGGGTTCCCCACCTCCAGCCTCTCAACCTCCCAATCCATCTCTACACTTGTTTCTAGAGTGGACTTAAAAAAATACATGCCCACTCATGCCACTTGCCAGCTTAAATCATCTCAGTGAATGGCTGAGAAGCACTGCCTGGGAGATGCATTGTGTGAGGGGAGAAACAGGGTTCCAGCCAGCCAGGTTCAGGAAATGCTGCTTGCTTTATGGCTCTTTTGGCGATTGACAATGCCTGCTAGCACAGTAAAGGCTGCTGAGTTTTGCAATTAAAAATAAATTATATATAGATATAGATATAGATATATAGATATAGATATATATAGTCCTGTATCCAGAATTTATTTGTACAGACTTGCTTTTCCTGCAACACTCACTAATACTGTCTGGAAAATGCAGCCTGCATAGTCTAAAGCCCTCCAGAACATGTGCCTCACCTTTGCCATCATTCCTCTGCCCCCCAAGAAAAACACAGGCTGTCACTGTCAGCTTGCTCCTTTTCTCTCCACCCTGGGGTCTAGCATGGTATTTGGTACCTCACAGGTGCTTAGTAAATGATTTTTGGCTGCAGCGTCCTCGCGCATGTAGGAACTCAGTCACTTGGTTTTCCAGATTCCTTCAGGAGCTTATTTGCCTAAGCTTATCTTAGAGAAGTACTGGTTTTTTTTTTTTAATTGTTGTTGTTCTATAATCAAACTTATAAATGGCGCAAGAAGACAGTCTCTTGGCCATGCCAGCCTAGGAACTGGCAGAGAAAGCCAGGGGATTTAAAGATGCCCAGGAGGGTAATGTGGTACAGATGTCCTGGCGCAACCAGAGAGATAAAAACAAAATCTAACAAAAGCAACTAAGAACAGGAAACCACACTGCCTGTGTCCGACCTCTGGAGAGTTTTCCCCTCAAGTCATCAGCACTGAGGGATCCAGTCACTACAGGAAATGGCAGGGAGAGGGTGTGACACTAATTCTGAGCATACTCTGATGCTGCACACAGGACAGGGACACCTCAGCATGGCCACTAGGAGGAGAAAGGTGAACCCCCAGGGGATGTGCATTGAAGACCCCCCTAGGACTGAGCAGAGAAAAAAGGGGATGTTTGCACTAATTACCAGGCACCCTGCCATGCATTGTGTGGGCTTTGGGGACTACACTGAGGTTGGGGAGAAGCAGGTACGTGAAGGATTACAAGGGGACTGGACGGCGATCCCACGCAGAGAGCAGTCTTAGGTTTTGGGTGCTGGAGCACTGGATCCGTGGAGAGCCCTCCTGGTCCCATCACATAAGCTTTGTTGCTGGAAGACTCTGATAAACTTGAGGCCTCAGTGCCTTCCACTATGAGCACAATCATAAGCCCCTACTGCAGGGACAAGGGATGCTGGCATACTGCGGCACTCATGGAGGTTAGGGCGGCAGACGGTGCCAGGAAAAGCTTCTGCCCCAGGGGAAGGGAGTGGCAAGGCTGCTTGGCCAGGGTGGCTGCAGTTTCCCAGATACACTCATACTTTGGTACTTGATTAGTCCTAAACTAGTGGAATTTGATACTTGATGCATTTTGAAAAGTTTGTCTTAGTACTTGTTTGCTTGGTATTCAATGCGGAAGCTAGAACTTGTGTCACTTGCCATGTGATTCCAACCTTTTATAGCCAAAACAATGTTTAGTACTTGTCATACCTTGTGGACTCAATTAATGACAAATACCAAGTTACCACAGGAGGAGCTGTCAGGTGGGGATAGACAGGTGTGGGGAAAGCTGAGTCCTCTGGGGAGCGTTAGAACAGGCTGTAGGGACAGGCGGTGGTAATCTGGGTGGGAAGATGGGTGAAGACAGAAGCCAGAGAAGGACCATGATGAATTCTGACCAGTTCAGCCTCTTCCAGAAAGTAGGCCCTGTGCT